TTTGCCCTCTGAGTCAGCCAGGGAGAGAGGCAACACAGCTATCAAAATGCAGAATCAGCAGCACCAGATGTCTTCAAAAGGCAACAGGAGTCTCTCCAAACATCTGTGGGCCTAACAGCCCATAAATGCTGTTATACATGCATTAGCCATGCCATCAATCCTTCATCCGCCGCAAATCCTTCATCCAACTGGCAACTGCCGCTTGGTCTCCTGTCTCACTCTTTCAAACACATCATCAGTAGCAATGATCAGGTTTAAGTTTGATGGCATTTCCCACCCTGGGGACCCAATGGCTCATCCAGGCAGGGCTGAGGTGACAGCAGTCACAGCTGCTGCCGGGAAAGGAGGCAGGTTCAGGCTCCATCTATTCCAGCCACTCTCTACAGGGCTGCTAGGCTTCATGGCTTTAGCCTGCAAGTCTTGGAAAGTTTATACAGAAGTCGTATGATCCAGCATTTGTATTTGAAGATATTTCCCTTCTGCTAGGAAAATAAGTAAAACCTTTCCACCATCCAGAAAGCAAAGAAAGGGCAAGCAATTCACAGCTCTAACCCAATAACAGGGCTGGATAGCTTTTGTAGTCCCTGCAGGAGCCAAACTCAGATGTGAGCACACCATGGCCCTCAACACTCTTCTTGCCTTTCTGCAGAATAAGGGATCTGCAGGTCCCAAGTCTCTCAGGGGTGCACACATGGGGCCTCACAGAGGATCTCTGCACAGCATCTGTGAACATCTCCTGTGAAAACAGCAACTGCAGGAGGCTCTGTCAGGTTTCTGTGTGTTTAAGGGCCACAATGCTGTCAGGGTGAGGATTGTTAGAGGCCACTGTGGGCTCTGCTACTCTATTTTGATTTCAGTATAATTGAAGGAAGCTTACGATGTGACCTTTGGGGTTTTTTGACTTTTTTTCTGCTTTACTGCTGGGATCTAGGTTACAGTCTGAGCTCACATGTATTTGGATCACGCAAAGTGAGTATTTGGCAAAGGGGTCTCATTTGTCCTGTGAAATCTGCACAGTCATAGCACCCTCCAGGCAGTTTTGTCTAAGGAAACACAGCATTTCTAGAAAGCAGAGGGGACTCTTGCCTTCCTATGGTCCACATCACTCAGACACAGTCTGATACTCAGACCAGCATTACATTGCAATAATGCCTCAGGACATTGCGCCTAAGCTAGGAATTCAGCTTCACCTTTGCAGAACTTGAGCAGTACAAGTCCTGTCTCTTATTCCCAGGAATATGCGACTGCAGTTTGTATTGCTGGTGTTTGATCTAGGAGATCAAGAGACCAGAGCAACTCCAGAGGCTCAAGCTCGCGTTCAGCAGCAGCACACCTATTTAACTCAGTTGTACAAGATTAGAAACAAACAGCTTAAAATAGTCTGCTAAAATTCAGGGTTGGCCCTTGGCTTTACACCAAGAAAAGTGGAGACCTTTGGGGAGAAAGAGGGTTTAGTAACAGGTGATGCTGAGGAGGGATAACTTCTAAGGAAAGCATGTAGGGTAGCATTAGCACATGAGGTTCTAGAAGATGATAGAGGATTGCAAGGCTTTCATAACAAGAAAGATATCTAACTGCTGCCCTCAGCCTTCTATGAAGACAGGCCGAGAGAGCTGGGGCTGTTCAGCCTGGAGAAGAGAAGGCTCCGGGGTGATCTTGTAACAGTCTTCCAGTACCTGAAGGGGGCCTACAAGAAAGATGGAGAGGGACTTTTTACAGGGGTATATAGTGATAAGACAAGGGGCAATAGCTTTAAACTGAAAGAAGGGAGATTTAGATTGGATATAAGGAAGAAATTTTTCACTCTGAGGGTGGTGAGGCACTGGAACAGGTTGCCCAAAGGAGTTGCGGATGCCCCATCCCTGGAAGTGTTCAAGGCCAGGTTGGATGAGGCTTTGAGCAATCTGGTGTAGTGGAGGGGTTTCCCTGCCCACGGCAGGGGGGTTGGAACTAGATGATCTTTGAGGTCCCTTCCAACCCAAACCGTTCTATGATCTTATGACTCAGTCCTACTGGGATTACCCCATTTGGCTCACTGCTGTTGTTCAGGGCAAGCACACAAGCAAAGCCTAATGCCTGTCAGTTAATTGTCACTGCTGTGGCTGCAACAGCCTACAAGGGAGCTCAAAGCTGACAGCAGTCTGCACTAAGGAAAGTGGACAACCCTGTACAAAGCCAAAAGGGCTGATCCATCAGCAACGGAACAGAAGTCAGTTTAAACAGAGAAGCACTCTCAGAATCAAATGGCAGAGCTTATGACAGAGCATTTAAGACAAAGCAGAAAGTTCAATTTCCCTTTTTTGCAAGATTAAACTTTGGAAACTCCAGGAAAATAATCTTATTTAAACATGTTTTAATACACTAATGGAATACTAGTATGACTAACACAACCATTAACTGCAGACAGCATCAAGGACTGAGTTCAAACATCCTGTAAGGATCCCTTAAAACAAGTAAATGCTTTGTTAAACATTCCAAAGAGATGCTTCCTCTCACCAGAAAAGCTGAGTCTGTCCAAGTTGTCTCTGATACCTTCTCCAGATTCAGAGGATCTAAGCTACCTACCTCTACTGACTGCAGCTACAGTATCAAGCTGTGGGAGAGGTACAGCAGCACAGAGGACTCATGATCAAAGCCCAGGCTGCTGGGGATTTGGCCATTCCTCAGTCTCTTTTGCCCTGTAAACATAAGGTTAGTCAAATTAGAAAGAAGATCTTTTCGTCATCACTACAGTCAAAACTTAAATTAAAATGTAGAAAGCATCAAAATTCAGATCACACCCACAAGCAGGTCTTGGGGCTCCCTCCAACTGCTGCATCAATTTGCAAGTATTTTGTGTTTAAGTGTTCTGAGCATGCCTCTTCCCAACTTGCGTGTAGAACTGCCAGTAAAGGCTCCTGCTACCTTAAAGCTGTTCTCTACCTTTCGTTTCTTTCCTGCAGGGACCAACTACACAGCTTTAGTGGCGAGTGTGGTGCTGGGATGCAGAGCGATATGTTGTCATCTGGTTGGTCAAGAAATCCTTTGTGGGAGTGCAACAGAGGAATGTTTCTTTACAGCTGAGAGTCAAGTGCTGCAAAGATCATCCTAAGGATAAATCCTCTGAGAAAGCCCCTTGACCCTTTGGATTCATGCCACAAGTGTTTCTGCTCTGCATATTGCAGAAGCACTCTGAGATACTTCAATATCTGCCCATAAGAACATAGAAGCAAAATGTAGATTATGCTCTCATGCATTAAGCCCAGGCAAGATGTAACATTCATTTGTGTGTAGTTTCCTAAAAAAAAAAATTAAAAATCAGCAGCTAGATGTTACCAAGAACGGAGAGATTCCTAAGGAAACAAGCCTGGCTGATAACATCCCTAGGACCAACGCACCAAGCACTCCAGAGTGCAACACAAACAGTCGGGATTTGTGTGGGTTGAAAAATCTCCAGAATTTGAAGCTTTCAATTTGTTTGAGAAGCAGTTTCTGGCTTTGGGACAAAAGGGCCTGTCATGTGGTTTAAATGCCAGAATCCTCTATAAACAACTGATCACAAAAACAGTGAAACACCAAGTATTTGCAAGCACTGCCAAAAGCTCATCCTCTCTGCAGTGTGCAAATTGCTACACTCAAGCCAGGTAGAGGGGAAAGCCATCACATGCAGAACACGTACTAGATGAGTACGTCAAGAGACAGTGTGTTTTGAGGACTCCTGACATTTTCTCTAGCTGATTTCTCACCTGTTCAAGTCAGTTATACATGATTTCTAACCCGCATCACTAGATGGATCATTAACTAGATTTTTACATTCAAATTAAGCTAAAGATTAGCACACATGGTGGTGAAGCAGAGGGAACACTAACTCTATCAGAAGCCAACACTGATAAAGGTCAACAGGCACAAGGCACTAAGCAACAACACTTCTTATCTATGCTAATGCCCCCCCAAACATCCAGCCGCTGCTTTGTCAGTCTTATTATGCACAATTGGGCAAGAAAAATATTCAAAATTGGGCCACTGAGGAGTTTGTACATGCTGTATTCTTACAACCAGGGAGATGAAAATACATGCCATTTCAAGGCATGACATTGTAGTCAAGTGCTAGAAAACAAACTCAGGCTAAACATCACTGCTCAGATGCCTGGGATGCGATACTTTACTGGTCTACTTCTCAGTTTGACCAGGAAGGAAGCGCAGCACACATGATACAGAAGATACAAAATGAGGTATTCAGCTTCTTCATATAAGCGAGTTTAAAATGCAAGACATTGAAAAAATCATTAATCTTTCTGTAATGTCACTTCATGATTTTAGTTGATGTAAATACCTTTCAAGCAAAAGATAAAAATAACAAAAAAAAAATCAAGTGTTACATCTGTAGAACAAAATTAACACGCAACTAAAGCAGGGGAGTATGCTATAATACCCCAAGCTACAGACATGCTGTTACCTTTGAAGCCTGTACTTTAACCCTGTTGATTTTAGTTTCACAATAAATAGGAGCAACAGAAACAGCCTGATATGTTGTTGAAAATTTGTGGAGTCAAGAGGTTTACTGCAGTATTGAAAGCGTTTCCAAAACAAAGAACTACAAGAAAACTTATGAAAGGTTAAAAACTCTCTAGATATCATTCTTGATTAAGAGTGCAAATAATTCTGTATGCATATGGTAAAGTCAAATGATAACAAGCAAAAATTGTGGACACTGCCTTCACATTTTAATCCACTGACATAACACTCCCTCAGAATAAACAGAATAAAACTTTCCTGAATGTATCTGGCATGATATTAAACAGTTTCACATTTTCTACTTTAATTTGATCTTTTCCCAGTTTTAGAATAGTTTTTTCCAATCCTTGGTTAAAATCAGTCATACTGTATGAGAACTTAGAAGAGCTATCATCACTAATTGCTCACAATTTGTCAGCATAATTTATAAAGATGACAGAACACTAGCCCATCATCCACTGAGAGAGGGTTGTTTTACCAAAGTCATTTTGCCTTGTTGCTACACGTTAGGCCACATCCACATAGCCAGCATCCTCCTCCTCAAGTCCTGTTCCCATATGGGAACAACAAGGAAGCATTACAAAAACGTAAAGGCAGCATCTTTCGCACATCAGTGTATTTCCCGATACAGGCACAAAGCAGTTCCAACAGGTCCTGGCTGCCACAAAATAAGGAAAAATAGTAGTACAATAGAGAATTGATCAAAGCCTGTAGTGCTGAATACTGTTCGTTCACCTGGCAGCTTATCCATGAGCCCAGACAGAACTTCCCAATTAAGGAATAAAAACAGCACACGGGGTAGACAGCAACATTCTATTTTTACAGGCAGGCAATGAAACATCTAGTGATTTTGACAAAGTCACATGGAAGCACAGTCTCAGCAGTAATCCAGGCCTGCAGCCTCTCAGACTCCCACTTCAGAAACAAGACTTCACTTTGCAGCTGCAGTCAGGGGTTCGGTCAGGTGTGGCAAAGCTCCCTCACTTCAGAAGCCACATAAATTGCACCTCTACCAGGACCCTGAATATCTGACTCCAGCCTCACGAAATTCCCTGCTCAGGCAATCAGTGGAGCTGAGGGCATAAAGCTTCAAACTCCTCTACTTAAATAAAGCTTTTGGTGGCATCTCCTTGTTATAGGTGCAGTGTTCAACACAAAATGAATCCAATTCCAAATACTACTGCAGTACAAATACAAAAACCTTCCACATTATTTCAGTAGACAGCCCACTAGAAGTTCAGATAGAAAGTATGCCTTGATGATGACGGAGGTCAATGAATCCCTAAGACGACTTGTCAGGAATGAGGATTAAGCTATCAAAGCTATTTAATAGTTTAATTTCTATCAAAGCCCAATTTTAATTTTAATTTCAAATTCCAATTTTACTTTCTATCAAAAATCTACAAGCTGGGCTCTGGAATATAACAGTAGAAGACCCAACAAAACCCATAGGAGGTTATCTTTTAAAAAAGATCACACTGAATTCTTAAGACAGAACTAAAAAAATGAATTTCTACAGAAAAGACATAAGATTATCCTGCTTGACAACTAGTTATAACCAATATATCATATTATCCTGTTAAGATAAAAAAAAAGAGGCAACCACAAAGGTACTTTCTCGGAGTGCTGCGAAAACATTGCCCTCACTTCCACGAGTAAAGGAAAAACGTTAATCTGTCTATTTTCTCATAGATTTAATATATTTGAGCCTGCAACAGCAAAAAATATTTTCCATCCAATTATTTCTTTCAGTACTCAACTTCAAGTCGCATCTACTGCTCAAAAGGAAAGAGAAGGCCAGATTTCATCTTACAGTTCACTCCTCAGATGTGATCCACACTAGCTGCCTACATTTTTTTCTTTCTTTGTCCATAAAATTCCAGCAAGAGACATCTGCAGTGTACTTGCCAGAGAGAAACATTTCAAGTAGAACAAAAATCATAACATAAGCACCACAAAGGAGAACAGATAACCAGTTAGGAGATCATTTAAAAAACAGTTGAACAAACTTTTTAAACCTAAGTCCAATAACATGAACAGGCAAGGAAGAAAACAAGGGCACATTATGCTAACACTATCACCAGAATGAGCTGCCTCCAAACAACTGGTTCTGCTTTATTCGGAGTTTAGCTAAGCGTTTTCCATCCTATTCCACGTATATCCAAGTGTCTCAGACACAATTAGAGTTTAGATAGTAACTTTGTGACCTACCAAAAGAAAGGTGAGAACGCATCTGAAATTGCATTGCAATGAAGCTCTAGGTGTTGATTTTGATATCTGAAGCACAAACACCAGATGGTTCACAGAGCTTCAAGTGCTCTTTGGGCCAGAGTTACTAAAAATCAGTACAATGTCAACCTGGTGCAAGGTCTTCGGCTTCAGCAATCTGTATTCATAGCACCACTTTTTTTTTTTAAAGGACAGTACCTCACATCTGTAAACTAAGGGTCTAAAGAGAAGCAGTGAAAAAAGATGTATCAACAAAAATACAAGGTGGTTTCATAGTTGTTTCCGAAGTGTGATGGAATTCAAAGTTTTCTTGTTCACAACTTTCATCCATTTCATATATCCAAAACCTGACATTGCCCCTTCACTGTCACAGTCACTTCATAGACCAGGACAGAAATTTAGAGAGATGTTTTATCCAGTTAAGAGACAAGAAAATCCTTAGCCTGCTGGCTCTTCATCC